CATTATCGCTCATTCTGTGGCAGCTAGGGAGGGGAGCCCGGGGAGTGTGACCAAGCGGGATTTGAACTTTTTCCTCTCTATGGTAAAAGATCCCCCAATTCATCTTGGTATAGTCATATTGAAAACCCTACAGAAGATCACCTCCAACAAACAAATCAAGACCATCCATGGAGGTGCCTACATCACAAGGCTAGCTCGGCATTTTGGCATTGATCCGGTGGGTTCTCATTGCACCATTGCCCAGTCCACTCAACCAATCTCCCAAAAAAACCTTGCGGATCTAAATTTGTTGTCAAAGGTAAATGTTCCAACCAACACTTTCCTTTTCACAGTGAATGCTAAAACATAACTAGTCGGGATTCAAACAATCTAGGATTGATTTTGTGCAAGTTTTGGATTGCCTACTAATCTAGTTCATTTTGAACATTGAGCAAATGTAACTAATGCTTCTGATATTGATCATGTCTGTGTTTGGTGGTTAAGGAGAATGGTGTGGTAGGCATTGTTGGCCTCCCTCATCCTGCTCGACCTCTTGCAACAGATGAGGCAAACGCATCGGAGCATGTTGTTCAGCAAATGGTCGAGGAGACTCCGGAACAACCTGCACAACATCACCAAACTACGACTCAAGCCGGACCATCCACCGACAGCTACATATCCCATTTTGAGGCATTGGGTCGGCAGAATGCCCAAATTCTGGAGCAAAATGCACTCATTCTCTCCCGCCTCGATTGAGAGAAGGAAGCTCGACGCTACATCATCGAATGCAACCATCAGATCATGAGGTCCTTGAGGATTGACTACGAACAATTCTCAAGACCTTGGGAACTATCTCCTAGGCCAACCGAGGAGATCAATGAAGAGGGAAGTGAAGAGGATGACGAGGGTAATGACGATGAGCAAAACAAGGAAAAAAATCAAGAGGAGAAAGGAGAGGAACAAAACAAGGAAAGCAGTGAAGAGGACAGTGACACCAATGAGGAAGACAGCAGTGAAGAGGACGACGACGAGGGCAATGGCGATGACCAAAACAAGGAAAAAAATCAAGAGGAGAAAGGAGAGGAACAAAACAAGGAAAGCATTGAAGAGGACAAAGGGAACGATGAGGAAGACAGCAGTGAAGAGGACGACGACGAGGGCAATGGCGATGACCAAAACAAGGAAAAAAATCAAGAGGAGAAAGGAGAGGAACAAAACAAGGAAAGCATTGAAGAGGTCAAAGGGACCGATGAGGAAGACAGCAGTGAAGAGGAGGACGACGAGGACAATGGCGATGACCAAAACAAGGAAAAAAATCAAGAGGAGAAAGGAGAGGAACAAAACAAGGAAAGCAGTGAAGAGGACAGTGACACCAATGAGGAAGACAGCAGTGAAGAGGACGACGACGAGGGCAATGGCGATGACCAAAACAAGGAAAAAAATCAAGAGGAGAAAGGAGAGGAACAAAACAAGGAAAGCATTGAAGAGGACAAAGGGAACGATGAGGAAGACAGCAGTGAAGAGGACGACGACGAGGGCAATGGCGATGACCAAAACAAGGAAAAAAATCAAGTGGAGAAAGGAGAGGAACAAAACAAGGAAAGCATTGAAGAGGACAAAGGGACCGATGAGGAAGACAGCAGTGAAGAGGACGACGAGGAGGGCAATGGCGATGACCAAAACAAGGGAAAAAATCAAGAGGTCAAAGGGACCAATGAGGAAGACAGCAGTGACTCTAGCGAGGACAATGAAGATGAGCAAATCCAGGAAAACAAAGACGAGGACGAGAACACTAACGAGAAAGATGGGCAGTGAAGATGAGCCAACCAAAGTCCTTAGTACTTAGCTATGTGTGTTTGCTTTTGTGCTTGTATGTTTTCCAATTAGAATATTATGATGCACCAGTGTGGGCTACATGCATCTAAACTTAAGCATTAATTAGACAAATTTAATCGTGTTATGGATGTTTGTTTTATAAGACAAATGTAAAGCTTTGACTGCTTTTTACTTTTTGTTAACAGGGTATCTCATCTGATATGATGTACAGTTACTAGAGAAGGATCTATGTAATGCTCGTGTCAAGCTTCAAAGAACATTATGACTCATCTTTTCATAAGCTTGTAGTTTTCACAAACAGTATATTATGTTACTTGCACCATTATAATAAGTACAAGGGTTAGTTGTACAGGTGCATGTCTGTCCAGACTATTTCTGGAAATCTCACGGCCAATTCTGGAAATCCCACGGCCGTGAAAGAAGACGTGGTTTTGGATATGTAATTCTGGAAATATCACGGCCGTGAGATAGGCCGTGAGATAGGTCGTGGATGTAAAAATGAACTTCTCAGTTTCCCAGAGGGTTTCACGGGTTGCCTTCGACATTATCACGGCCGTGAGATGAGCCGTGTTTTGGAATTGAATGATGTACCTCTCACGGCTCATCTGTTAATTCTCACGGGCGTGAGAATAGGCCGTGTGATTGTCTGGAGATAGGAAAACTACTTTTGCTTGTCACGGGTCATGTCACGGCCGTGAGATGAGCCGTGTTTCCTCAAAATTGTACCTACACTTTCTAGAGTTGTACCTTTACACTAAATTTAAAGTTGTACCTACACTTTCCTAAAAATTGTACCTATACACTATAGTACAACTTTTAGTTGTACCTACACTTTCTCAAAATCCTTCTATGGTACAACCCAAACTTGTACCTATACCATGGTACAACTTTAAGTTGTACCTACACTTTCTAAAAATCGGTCTATGGTACAACCCAAACTTGTACCTATACCTTGGTACAACTTTAAGTTGTACCTACACTTTTTCAAAATCCTTCTATGGTACAACCCAAACTTGTACCTATACTAATGGTACAACCTTAAGTTGTACCTACACTTTCTCAAAATTCTTTATGGTACAACTCAAAATTGTACCTATACTAATGGTACAACTTTTAGTTGTACCTACACTTTCTAATAAATCCCTTTATGGTACAACTCAAAATTGTACCTATACTAATGGTACAACTTTAAGTTGTACCTACACTTTCTAATAAATCCCTTTATGGTACAACTCAAAATTGTACCTATACTAATGGTACAACTTTAAGTTGTACCTACACTTTCTCAAAATTCTTTATGGTACAACTCAAAATTGTACCTATACTAATGGTACAACTTTTAGTTGTACCTACACTTTCTAATAAATCCCTTTATGGTACAACTCAAAATTGTACCTATACTAATGGTACAACTTTAAGTTGTACCTACACTTTCTAATAAATCCCTTTATGGTACAACTCAAAATTGTACCTATACTAATGGTACAACCTTAAGTTGTACCTACACTTTTTCAAAATCCTTCTATGGTACAACCCAAACTTGTACCTATACTATGGTACAACTTTATGTTGTACCTACACTTTCTAACAAATCCCTTTAAGGTACAACTAAAAATTGTACCTATACGAATGGTACAACCTTAAGTTGTACCTACACTTTCTAACAAATCCCTTTATGGTACAACTAAAAATTGTACCTATACTAATGGTACAACCTTAAGTTGTACCTACACTTTTCCAAAATCCTTCTATGGTACAACCCAAACTTGTACCTATAATATGGTACAATTTTAAGTTGTACCTACACTTTCTCAAAATTCTTTTATGGTACAACTCAAAATTGTACCTATACTAATGGTACAAATTTAAGTTGTACCTACACTTTCTAATAAATCCCTTTATGGTACAACTCAAAATTGTACCTATACTAATGGTACAACTTTAAGTTGTACCTACACTTTCTAATAAATCTCTTTATGGTACAACTCAAAATTGTACCTATACTAATGGTACAACTTTAAGTTGTACCTACACTTTCTAAAAATCCTTCTATGGTACAACCCAAAATTGTACCTATACCATGGTACAAATTTAAGTTGTACCTACACTTTCTAACAAATCCCTTATGGTACAACTAAAAATTGTACCTATACTAATGGTACAACCTTAAGTTGTACCTACACTTTCTCAAAATTCTTTAATGGTACAACCCAAACTTGTACCTATAACATGGTACAATTTTAAGTTGTACCTACACTTTCTAATAAATCCCTTCATGGTACAACTCAAAATTGTACCTATACTAATGGTACAACTTTAAGTTGTACCTACACTTTGTGAAACAAATTCTTCAATGGTACAGCTGAAACTTGTACCTATACTAATGGTACAACTTTAAGTTGTACCTACACTTGTATACATTGATTCATTATTTACAAGATTGCCATTAATGATGTGGGACCAGTCATTTAGTGGGTTTACCTCCTCAATAGGTCACCTTTTTTTTTTGTTTTTTATAGCATGGGTGCTATAGAGCACACTAGAAGGGCTCAAAAAGTTTAAGTTACCCAAAGTTCATGGGCCACCTCTTCCACTAGAAAGAAAGAACTCACCCAGTTTACCGAAAACACCCTCCAAAAGCGCAAGATATTCGCCTACGTGGCTCGTTATCAGGTGTGAGATCCACAATCGCACTACCCTCACTGCCTTCGCGGTATTCACGCGTAATTGGATCGGCGGTTGAAGGGAAACACGTGGTCCAATCATGGGGCGAGTAAGAGAGGTAACACAGCTCTCGGCGAGTGATGAGAAAGATAATTATCACGAGGATAGATATTTGTCCGGATCAAAAATATCTGTCTAAGTCGTCCACGTTGGCAACCCGATAGGGAGACCGCTCTGGCCCTGGAATTAGATATTGCGCTTTTTACTCCCTTTTCCTTTCCCGATCCTATTATTTTAATTTTCCTTTCCTTTCCTTTCCTTCACTTTCCCTTATTTTCCTTGTAACCAAACAGCACCTTCGGAAATATCTCCACTTTCGTCGCCCCCCCTTTCTCTCTGACCCGGATCCACAATTTCCCAATTCCAGACTCGACTCCTGATTTCCACACTACCGATAACATCCTCCTTCCAATTTCTTCTCTAATTCTGCTGATTGAATCATAGTTTGGTGGGAGGCAATCATGGGGGAGGAAGTGAAGATGACCGACTACGAGGGCAACGGAGGAGAAAACGACCACGACGGTGGGGACGACGCGAGGGTCACCGAGTGGGAGATGGGTTTGCCGTCTGCCGATGACCTAACCCCCTTATCTCACCACCTAATTTCCCCGGAACTGGCGTTGGCCTTCAGTATCTCGCCGGAGCCGTGCCGGACGCAGGTGGACGTCAACCGAGCTTCCGAGGTGACACTCTCCAATCTGTGCGGCAGCAGTGGCGGAGGGGGGAGCGGCAGCGGGGGCAGCGGTGGCCAGTTGAACACTCTCTCGTCGAACAACAACTTCAAGCCCTTGAACGACGACCACGACCGGGGGACGACGGCCAGAGACCCGATGTTGGTGGAACCGGAGGACAACGGCGGGGCGGACCGCGACGGATCCGGATCCGAGTCTAGGAAGATGAGGAAGCTCGATTCGGAGGAGGCGGATTCGGTACTCAGACCCGAGAATTCCACTGACGATCCGTCGGCGAGGTCGCTCAAACGCCCCCGCTTGGTGTGGACTCCGCAATTGCACAAGCGATTCGTGGACGTCGTGGCGTATCTAGGGATTAAAAACGCCGTCCCCAAGACTATTATGCAGCTGATGAACGTGGAAGGCCTGACGAGGGAGAACGTCGCTAGTCACTTGCAGAAGTACCGACTTTATCTCAAGAGGATGCAAGGGCTTTCCAACGAGGGCCCTTCGCCCTCCGATCACCTTTTCGCCTCGACGCCGGTGCCCCAGAGTCTGCACGAGAGTGGCGGTGGCGGCGGCAGCGGCAGCGGAGGAGGATCTAATTGTCCGCCGCCGCCTCCTCCTGCTGCTGCTCCCACTGCTGTTTCTTCCGCTAATGGTCATTTGCCAGTTCCGATGCCGGGGCCGTATCATCAGGCTGGGGCCGGCGCAATGATGCCTGGCCCTATGTATGGCCATCTGGGGATGCCGCAGATTGGGAATAACCATCACTACCACCATTACCACCACCACCATGGATTTGATCGGAATGCTCCCCCGTACAATATGCTGCAGCAGCAGAAGGAGTGGAGTGGGAATAATTACGGGTCCGTCGTCTCTTACCCGCATCATCACCCGCATCAGGTTGCTCCTAATGATAACATGTGATGTTCGTAATAGGAGCTCATTTTTGGTCATAAACCAGGTTGCGTTTCATTTCTGTGCAATTTCTCAACTTTTTATCTGTTATCTGTTTCCGCATGCCAACTGTTTGATAATAGTCCTCATTGCGTAGGGTACCTGAGCTTTGTGCCTAAAATTAGAGTGCCTCTAAACACCCTTTCCATTTCCGTTTGATAATTCTTTTACGTCTTTTGTAATTTAGGAAATCAGACTTGGGGTTAGCATCTGATTGTTATTTTCTGAGGGAGAACAATTGTACATGTCTGCTACGGAGGAAAAACTGATGATTTGAAGTGCCTAATAGACACAGAAGTGCTGTTTTCTTCTATGTGTCTACTAGACCTTTTTAGGACCCTCTGTTATGCTGAACTTAGGAAGCAGTACCATCCAAAGGAATGTGTTACTAGAACAGTATCTATTAACCCTTCTTGCTATCTCCAATATGATATTGGCCATGGGGATCCTTGGAGGATTTTGTTCTTTTCCAACCTTTCGCAGAAGTGGAGTTTTTTTACTTTGTTCTTTTAAGACTTGAACTATTTGTTTGTCATGGAGATGGAAGCATCGCCATGATGATGACCAATGTGCCCAAGTCTCACTTATTCAAGCTGCTTAAAATTGACATTTCCTAGCAAATAAGGGTTATCTTGTGGCACGCTATGAGCGGGAAAGATACATTAATGGCGACAATTTAAAACAATAAATGGATAGGCAGAATGACAAAATCTTCCTTGTTGTATTGTCTTTTATGATTAGGAAAATGACTCCCTGTTTATATAACTGGGAGTCGAGTCACCAAGACAGTTAGGTGGGTAAAGCAACCATGAGCTATCAATCATGCTTGCAGTCCTCTTCTAGAAACCAAGCATTGGCCGACACTAGCCATGAATTTTTGTCCTTGACATTCTTAGCAACTAGAAACATTTGTTTTTGTTTCAAAGCTCTATCTTTTGTCCCTTAGACTTGCTTGTAGCTGTCCTAGTGCTTTCTGTTTGTTGTTGATAAAAATGATGCTGATAGGCGTGAGACTTGCTTGACTGGTGTTTGTAAACATGGACTCTAATGCTGTTCTATCTCTTATAGGTTATGAATGAGAAACCTGAAACATGCTTGGTTCTTGGAAGTGGTTAAAGACGGTAGAAAGAAGAACAATGAAGCTTAAGAATATGAGGAGTTTCAGCATCATGTGTTCTGGCCTTCTGCATGACTCTAGGAAAGAGGAAGTTCTCCTCAGTAAATATATCCTATTTGGTTATCAATGATCAACATGAGGATTGCAGGATGCGGTATGATGTGGAACCAGGCGAGAACTCAAGGCATACATTCTCTCAACTTGTTCTTTGTTTGATGAAGCGAAATAAGAAGTTTATTTCTGGATTAACCAAGCCCCTCCTTTTGTGCTACATAGCAGAAATCAATAAAGGAAAGCCAAATTGGTTCACCTAGAAATTGACACTATTGGATATTGGAATGCCATTGCATTACACTGATATATCTATCTATTTGGTCATAATTCTTTATTTTATTTTTCTATCTGTCAGGTAACCTGGCCGTTTATATGGTTATTTACTACATCCTTGAGATTGTTTATATATCAATCTTGTCAAGTTCTTGTGTTAATCCGCCTTGGCAGGGACTTCGGTTCTGTGATTACAGATTGTTTCGACGTTCTCTTCCCTGTTACTGTGTCCTACATGTCTTTTCTTTTGTAATTTGACAACATGGCTACATATTTCTATCATCTGGCGGTGTTTTGAGTGGTAAATGGCCAGAGGAGAACAGATCGAGTACTGTGGGATGATGGTGATAGCATGAGCCATTAGTATTACATTTAAGATGAACTGGTTTAGCCGAGTAGTCTTGCATGATGACGATAGCCATAGTGATTAGAATTGCATGAGCTTAGTTCTACTATGGATTCGTTTCTGCGCGTGTTTATATGAAAGTAATGAAAAACGTAGCAATCTGCAAGGAATGGATATTGAAGTTTCAGCTACTAAGTTAATGAGGTACAGGTTTTACATAATTTACAATCTTATTTTCCTCAGCCTCCTGCACAACTCTGAGAGCTTCTTTATCTAGCAGTTTATTCCGAGTGGGGGACCTACAGCCATGCCTTTCTGCTTCCCCTTTCTTGATGTTCTGTGATAATTTGATAACTCGTTTTGTTAGTATACATGTTTAGATTCAGGTGGGCTTGTTCTTTGAGCCCTATTTTAGTCATTCAGATTCTTCACGCTTCTGCAATGTTAATATGGTATATCTCCTCCCATCAGCTCCCTTGCTGTGTAAACCATAAAACCACTACAGCATTTGCCATTGAATGTCAATGAACTGTCTGGGGCTCTTGTCTCTACATATCGTCATCTCGTTTCATTTTAACAATGGCTCGAATGCTCGATCTCAAAACTAGAAGCTCAGCACTAAGTTATAGCATAAGATATGCAGAACCTTTGTGGTAATCTGAGTGTATTTTGTTTAGTTGAGCGGCAAGTGGGTTGGTGCAAGTAGTTCTCACTTACACGTGATAAAGTTAGCCTTTTGGCAATTATTTCCAAAAGGGAAACACGAAATGTTGCTCTATTTGCCGTTGGCCTCAAAGTGTTCATCCACCACGGTATAAGTTGCCGAAACGACACTACATATTGCACCTGATCGATCACGAACTACTTTTCTGCGGTTGTTTTGGTTGCAAATTCTTGCGCAGCTGCACAATCTTAACTGAGAGCAGAGAGATACAGTGTGTTTGTATTGAACATCCGAATATGGCACATGACTCTTAGACCTTCATAAGTTCTCTGGATTATGATTTTAACCCTTGATTTGCCTCGAGGTAACTGAAACAGAAACAGCTTTGCAACTTGTCCAACTGCGCTATCCAATAAGTCAGTCTCTATCCAAACTTAAGTAGTGAAGTTGGCAACCTGCCCCCTACTCCAACTATGATGTCTACTTCCTTACCCACATGTTTCTATCCAGCTGCACCCAGAGAACCGCCTAGTTTTATTGTTCAACCGCTTCTTAAACCTTGCAACAGCGCCCCAACTGCCTGCTTCAGCATGTAGACTTGACATGAGAATTTCGTTACCAGGGTTTCTGGGCTCAAGCTCCACTAATTGCTTAGCTGCGACGTCAGCGAGCTGCACATTGCCATGTTTTCTACACGCCCCCAACAGTGCTCCCCACACGAAAAGATCAGGCTTCATAGGCATCGTTTCAATCAGACGATAGGCCTCCTCAAGTTTCCCAGCTGTCCCAAGAAGATCCACCATACATGCATAATGCTCCAGTCTTGGTCCAATGTTGTACTTCTGTTTCATCAAAAGGAACAAACTTTGTCCCAGCTCGACCATTCCAGCATGACTACAAGCTGTGAGAACAGCTGTGAAAGTCAAGTGATCAAGCTTGGTATTGCCTTCGGTCTTTTCCAACCGAGTAAACAGCTGGATTGCTTCGTGGGAGCAACCATTGTTTGCATATGCGAAGATCATTGAATTCCAGGTAGCCGTATTCTTCTCCGACATTTTGTAGAACAGCAATCTCGCTTGGTGGAGAAAACCAGACTTGGCATACATGTCAATCAGAGCACTCCTCACGTATATATCATCATCAACTCCTATCACCACAGCATGGCCGTGAAGCTCCCTCCCATGCCTGGCATTTGCCACACTGGCACAAGCTGGCAAGAGACTGCTGATTGTGGCAGGGCTGGGCGAGAAGCCATGGCTCAACATCCGTCTGAATGTGCTAAAAGCTGCGTCATTTCGAAAGTTCTGCACTAGCCCTGATATAACTGTCGTCCAAGAAACCACGTCAGGTTCTATGCCGTTGTCAGCCATTAGTTGGAGAAGTTCTGAAGCCATAACTTCGTTACCCTTCTGGGCAAACCCAGCAATCAATGTGTTCCAAGTTATGATATTTGGTTTAAGCCCCACTAGTTGCATTCGCTTTACCAAACTAAATGCTTCTTCTGCAAGACCATGATGAGCGTAGCCTGAAACCAGGGCATTCAGAGCTACCGAGTCTTTCTCCGATATTGTATCGAAAACTTTCGTTGCGTTGTCAACTTCACCGCATTTGGAGTACATATCAATCAATGCACTCACCACAAACGAATCTGATACAAAACAACGTTTCAAACTTAGGCTATGCAAAATCTTCCCAGTATGTACATCAAACACATGCCCGCAAGCCTTCAGAGCACTTGGAATAACGAACTGGTTTGGGAGTAATCCCTCTTTCCTCATTTCAAAGAAGACATCCAAAGCTTCCTGGTAAAACCCACATCGTGAATACGCCCCCACAATGACGATCCACCGCCGAATGTCCGAGTGGGGAATTTTGTCGAACACTTGGCGCGCGCTGGACAACCGCTTACATTCCGTGTAGAAAGACACGAGCTTCGCAGCAAAATGCGTACGACGGGCCAACCCATTAGTTATCAGGTGGGCGTGGAGTAGTTTCCCTCTCAGTAGCGATCGACGGTGAGCGTGTGTCTCGATGAGTTTGGTATATATATCTGGAGATAAATGAAACCGAGAGCAACCAGCTTCAAACTTCCGTTGGTCCCTGAAACGAGTTAGCCTGACGAGAGAGAGCATTGGATTTTAGTCGACGATGAAACCATTACAATCATTTTAGCCATACTGCCGGCTTGCGAGGGCGACATTTCGGACCTTCCGGTGGTGGCGCCAATGAATAAACAGTTACTAAGGGTGTCGATTTTGACATCTCTGTCGCATTTAGGAAGGCCGGTAACTTTCTGGCTTCTGTATACAGCCAACCGCCATCGGACGGGCCGGTTTGACCCGGACCGGCCGGGTTGGCTCCTCGGTTCTATATATTTGGAGACGACATTGCTACAAGTCAAGAAACGACATTGGTCGAACAAAGAGAGATGTCTTGAGAGGTTGAAGAGCAAACACCCAGAAGGCAGTATGGACGGATTGATTCTCCTTCCAACGCCACACAAGCTTCTCGTTTGTTTTTCGCCTGAGCTCCACTCAAGATCCCTTCTTTACATTCAACGCCGGGAAATTTCGTCGGTACCCAGTTGCAGTTTTGTCTATGGCTGTGGTGGTGGTGGGTTCGACGTTTTCTCTGTTTCTCCAGGAGGGTCGTTGGTTCCGGTGTATGGGAGTTTCAAGAGCACGAGAAGGAGAAGAAATTCGACGAGCCTCTTGAGAGCGAGCCGCAGGGAATCTCCTTACGAAGTGTTGGGAGTGGCTCCTTCTGCAACTCAGGATGAAATCAAAAAGGCCTACAGGAAACTTGCTCTCAAGTATCACCCTGATGTCAATAAGGAGGTATAGTTTAATCTGTGGGTGTTTGTTAATCTGCTAATTCTGTTCGAATGAAAATGTGTCCATTTGGGTATCAATTTGCTTGTGAGTTGAGCTAGCTAGTAAACAAGAATGAAGAGGGGGAACAAATTTGGTGATTGGATCCTTCTAAAGAAGGGAGAATTACCTGCAGAAAATACACTATGCTGGATATAGCAACACCATCAGTACCCTATGATATCATAAGTCCTGTTACTGATGCTAATGTGTCCAAAGTGTTTTCGGTTTGGTTTACAGGCAAATGCTCAGGAGAAATTTATGAGGATTAAACATGCCTATAATACATTACTAAGCTCTGAATCCCGAAGAAAGTATGATGGTGGAACGCCATCTTCTGGGTTTTCATATTCCGGTGCTGACAGAAGGAAGACGACTAGTACTGGAAATGAAGAGGAGTTCTACGGGTTTGGTAATTACTTTGCCTCTGCCCATTCGTTTGTTCCATTCTCGAATCTATTCCCTACTATTTCAGCAGTAATGTGAATGTTCAAGATCATATAAGATAGTTATTCTCGCAGTTTCCTCGCCTCAAGTTGTCTTTGTTTATACCCTACTATTTTGAAGTAGTTCCAGATAGGACTACTACTGCTTCTTCTTTTTGCTTCTGTTCCTCTGTTTGTAATTCAAATTGGTGGTAGTAGGTTCACTAGTTTTTCTCATATTTGCCCACTTTATGCTGCAGGTAATTTTTTCAAGGATGTTCAAGTAACTCTAGGTAGATTGTACTGTATGAGTAGGACAATTGTCATCTTCTCATCTTGCCTTTAAGTCTGTTAACTTGTTTGGCCTTGGAGAAGTAGTAGTCGCGATTGCGGTGGATGGTTCCTCCATTGTTGAGTGGTAGTGCTTTTGTTGTATTGATGCAGGGGACTTCTTCAAAGATCTCCAAGAAGAGTACCGGAACTGGGAATCAAGTGCACCATCAGATGGCAAGCCAAAGAGCTTATGGGAAGAATTGGCGGTATGACACTGCTGCTTGCACCCATCTATTCTTTGCTACGTATTGTGATGAATCTTTGCCATATTTCTGTTAATTAACTTTTACGTACGATTAACTTCTACTTTTACTTCTGGCAGGAAGTTGGGGAAGAATTTGTAGAATTCTTAGAGAAAGAGCTTAACATAACAGACCCAGATTTGGAACGAAACGCAAATGATGGTTCACGAACTGATAACTCCTTCTCCAGTTCAAGGACGGAAGAAAGTGGAGATGATAGTAAAACGAAAGGGAAGGGTGGCACCATCGAAGATAGCATCGATGAAATTGAAGCTACCCTTGCTAAGTTGAAGAAGGACTTGGGTTTATAGCAAAGCATTGAAAACACCTATGTGAAGATGTGAACGAGTCTTGACTTTTAGGAATCGAGCAGCGAGTAGCGAGCAGTTCTTTGTCACAGTGCCACTGGTTGCCATTTAACAACAGTTGCTCGTTGCTGATGTCTACATGAACTTAGATTGAATGCTGATTACTGCAGAATGTGACGTTGTTTTAGAAGTGATTCTTGATTTCCAAGGCCTCGAGAACAGGGCAAAGAATGAAAGAACCACCTAAAGTGAATCCGCACTTCCACACATTCATAACTTCTTGCTTCCCGAGAGTAGTTATGTGGCAATGCCACAGTACATTCTGGCAGCAAGTTCTGAAACAAACCAAGAACAGTTCAACTCAAGGAAGTGACCAAGTGAGACAGATTATTCAACTACATAGGAAATAAGTTGATCCAATTCCACGGAACACAAGGAAAAAAATAAATCACAACTTCAAATCTCTCTTGCTAAACTATCTTAGGCCTACGCCTTGCCAGAAAAATTTATGGCAGTTTCTCGTGCTGCTTCCAGTACGAACTTATCTCTGTTTCAGTATCTCTCACCAAATCGGAAGAACAATGCACCCGTGCCAGTGTTGTGATCCACAGCGTACTCTGCTCGAACCAATCCCAACTTCACACCAGCACCATATGATGAGCCATGCCCCATTCTTCTGTATACTTCTGTTGGGTTACCTTTCACATCCTTGGAGCTTCCAAGATCATTTCCATGTTCAGCAAAAACATATACATGCGTGTTTTTCACGGGTATCCTTAGCTCAGCTCCAAGCTGCAAACATTGAAAATGAAGATTTTTGAATATCAATCTTCAGCTTCTTTATATCTCTATATACGCCTACCTAGTCAGTCAACGTGAGTGTACCACACTGATCTATATCCAGGTAGTAACCAATCTCAACAGCCCCTTAGGTCTAAATGCGGAGAAAATAACAGATTTGTAATGTAAGGCAGAATACAATTAGTCATAGTTCCAACTATAGATCTTCACCTCGAGGATGTTTCTGGCTGCTCCAAGCTCACCCATGTTGTAACCTCTCACAGAGTAAGGTCCACCAAGTGTAAAAGCGTCATAGCTTGGAAGGTCTCCAACACAGCCCCCATAATGGCCATTAAGGACTAGAATAGGAGGTGGCGGTTTGCCCGCACCTTCCTCCACTTGTTTTAGTGGAATGAATTGCGTAACTGTCAGCTGGTGACGGTTGAAGAACGGGAACTTGCTACCAATGCCAAGCCCTTGATCCACCTATATCACATAAGTGAACAAATTATTAAAGTCAATGACTTTTTTAAAGCAAGTATTCAGGAAATCGCTTTCATTGAATAAGCGTGCATAAAAATATTTATAGACTCTGAAAATGATGAAAGGGAGGTTCTCCTTCCAAATGCAGAAGTGGTGATCAGTTGAATGTAAAACTCATAATGAGAGCACAGTAGCTGTTCACCTGAAAGACATTTCTTTCACCAACTACAGCTCCATTTATGAACTTTGTGTTGTCACGAGTGATATTGGCCTGTAAAAATGCCATCCGGTCGATGCCGGTACCACTGAGAGTTGTTGGCGGCCCATCTGCACTAATTCCACCACTTGGTAAAACTCTTTGGCCATTTGCAGATATGTGACTGCTCTCGTCACGTGTTGTTATCTCTTCCATCACCAGCCCATATGTGAATTTGCTCTGGCGGGTGAAGTTCTAATAGCATTGAAAAAGGAAAAAACACTTTGAGTTGTAAAATCTGAGGATAAGATAACAAGTTGGGTGAATCACAGACATCAAGATGAAATTACCTCTGTAACATTAACTTTCACCCCAGCTCGATCCACCCATATTGGAGGAACCTCGTCAACCCCTGGCCCACCAGTAAAGACTGGACTAAGTTTTCTGCTGTTGAAGCAGCTGGTTCGAAGGGTGCGGTTGCGAGCATTGTATACACCATCAAGATATGGATGGACATATTCAAGCTTGAAGGCAAGATCATCCTGACAAAGAAGAGTTCCCAAGCATATTCAAAGTAGTTAAGCAACAATTCGATATGCATATCTAGTAATAATAATAATCATCATGATCTATATTTTGAGATAGTCAAAGCACAAAGCTAGTTTAGTTACCTGAGGCAAAAAGAAATTGCTTGTTGTGATTGAGCCCACAACTGACCGATTCAGCCCTTTGATATTCCTATGTTCAAAAGAAACAGTTCCACCAGGCTGGATTGACGCCTGAAGGATGAATTGCCGTTTAGTATAGTTGAAATGGAAGCTCACGCTGCAGATGTGCAATGAACTTAAAAGAGCAAGGAAGACATACCAATGTGGGCCGTCCACCACGCCCAGGAACAATGCTCCACTCTGTACTAACTTCAGCTGATTTTGGCTCCAACTCTTTAAGCTTAATTTCAACAATGATTCCTCCTTCATTCTTCTCATCGGGCCTTGGGTTCACTTCAATGTTGGAAAACAAGCCCAAAGCATTTATATTCTTCAGAGCTTGTTTTCCAGCTTCAATGTTGAACACTTGACCAGGCCGTAACTGAAACATTAACATCCACACTACAATTAAGCTTACCTGGACTATGAACAAAGTTACTAGTTCATGCCTAGAAGGAAAAACAAAATCGCAAGCGACGTGGCACTTAATCACAGTAGAATTTATTTTGAATTTGTTGGAGAGAGGCTCATTTAAGATCATTTAACTTGGCAGATGGAAGCACCTCACTAAAACCAGAGTTACATCTACAGCTAACTTGGTGATCCACAGCTTGCTACTTCATGATTCATAGCACAAAGCTTAAACCAGAACCACGCCCCTAAGTTTGTTACTTCGCACAGTTCACAACCATTCCTAAAATGACTTCAGAGATTATACATCAACCACCCCCGAGAGATGCATTCCATTGATCCCTCACCGTTATCACACACCTAGAGATGAATCAAATAAAACCAAACATCGCAAATGAAGCAATCAAGGGCTTCCCAGTCTTACCTGCTTAGGCAGCTCTCTCTTGACCACAGGCATTTGAGTATTCCCCTCAACAACGTTACCAAGTTTGTCCTGAAACTGAATAACCAGCTGCGTAATATCACCTTCGACCACCTCACAGACTACCTCCTTGGTGTTGAGATTCCCAAAATTAACGACCTGGGCACAGGCATAACCCTCATCGTGGTACCACTTCTGCACTGTATCCCTTATCTTCTGCAGCGACCTGGCGCTAACCTTGCCTTGGTCCCTCAACATTTGCATAACCTCCCTGTGAACTGGAGGTGCCAACAAACAGGGACGCGCCCTGTCAATCCTCCTCTTGTAGTCCTTCTCCTGACTCCTGAAGTACTCAAGCTTCTCTTTCTCGGTCATGTCAGCATCCATCTCAATGGGCTTGGACTGTTGCATCAGCCCGACATTGATGCACCTGAACTTATCAGCCGACTGCCAGGTGCTCTCCGCGAAAGAGATGCTGATCCCTAGGCTCCCATCTGGGTTCGTTTTCCCGTCCATATCGACCCTCTCGAACATTCCGCAGGTAGCTAGAGTCTCCAGCTCCTTCTGCAGCTGCGCTTTTGTGTAGACTCCGCCGGGCCGTAGGGAAACCATCTCGAAGAAAGAATCTTCCGTCCCAACGGTGGCCCTTCTCCGGGTGTCGAAGAAAACAATGTCGGAGACTTTGTACTTCTTGAAGCCGCTGAGCTTGTTGAGTTGGACGGTAATGTTGGCCGGCAGGCCGTGGACATCCCAGTCTGGCGATTGGGACTCGTCGGCAATAGCAGCCGATGGACATAACAGTTTCTCCCAAAATCCCCCGCAACCATCGCCGAATCCACCTCCGTCAGCCCCACTGCCGCCGCCGCCGCCGCCACTGAACCAACCGCCATTACCTCCGAAATTGCCTGGGCCTCCGTCGGCGAATGAGAAGGGAACTGGAGCGAGACGGATGAGGAGAGTGGAGGCGGAAACGCCGGCTAGAACTAAGGGTTTGGAGATAGAACTGAGGAAAGAATTCCCCTTCTCCTTTGATTCAGAGGGTTTAGGGTTCTGCGGAGAGGAAGAAGAAGAACCGAGGTCGCATTTGAAGGAGGCGGAGCGGGGAGCAGCGGCGCGTGGGTTACGGCGGTGGGTGATGGAAGAGGGGGAGATCCGAGAGTTGACGAGGTAGTTGGCCGGTGCGGCGCCGGCGTAGGAGGACATGGTTTTAGAGAGGGATAAGGAGGCAGAAGAAAAAACGAGAAAGAGCGAGTGAATTCTACAGATGTAGGAGACGGCAGGTGAAGAGCTGAGTTGAGGTTAGTAGAGACGGGCAAGAGCCGTGCGACTTTAGGTTGAACCGTGGTTGCGACTGCTACGGTTTAACCATGTCAACCGTCTGCGTTTCGCGTTTCTGATTTCCGAAACGGCGATACTCTTCGGAACGTGTCTCATGTCTGTCTTTCATTCTTGCTGTTGCTGGCCTGGGTGTCAAACAGTAAAAGAAAGTGGAGGTCAAACAGATGGGAAGCAGAGGCGAGAGCGGTGCAGTCGGTTCCGCCATTGCATGGCACTATGGGAATGCTTCTGTCGTTTCTCTGCATCCGCCCGTCGCTACACCTCTTCCAAACCTTCAAAACCGGCTGGACTGCTCATCGCCAACTACGAACCAGAATGGGCTTACCGCCTTCACCTATCCCAGCCCTTCGACGGCGGCGGTGACAAGCACCAGCGTTCAGCTGTACTGGGCCTATTGGCTGGGTTTCATGGTCCTGGGTCTTTATCTGATCCTTACTTCATTAACAAAGCTGTCTCCTTTTGTGCCAAATCCACTTCTTTCCTAGAGGGTATTCAGTTGCATTCTCAAATTGTGAAGCTGGGTTTTACTTCAAACGTGTATGTGTGTAGCGCAGTTGTCGACATGTATTCCAAATGTGGCGACATCAGGAGTGCCCAGAAAATATTCGACGAAATGCCAGAGAGAAACGTTGTCACGTGGAATTCACTTATTTCTGGCTATTTGGATGCTAATTTTCCGAAAGTAGCTGTTCAGTTGTTTGTTGAGATGCTCCGACATGCAGCTTCTGTTTCGCCATTTAGCCTTTCTAGTTGTCTGGTCAGCTGTTCACAATTGGAGGACAGGGACCTCGGAGAGCAGCTTCATGCATTAAGTTTGAAAGCGGGGTTTGACAATCATGTTGTCGTGGGGACCGGTCTGATTGATATGTACTCAAAGTCTTGTAGCGTTGGACTCTCAAAGTTGGTATTCGAGCGTATAGTGGATAAGAACGTGATTACTTGGACATCCATGGTCACTGCTTATTCACAGAATGAAGAGCCTTGTGAAGCAATGGTGGTAGTCAGAGAGATGTTGCAATTGGGTTTGAGATTAAATGGTGTGACGTTTAACAGTTTACTGAGTTCATTTTCTACTCCAGATCACTTAGAGTGCTGCAAGCAAGTTCATTGCTGTGTAATTCGCCAAGGTTTAGAGTCTAATGAGTATATTACAGTCACACTTGTGACTGTCTATTCGAAATGTAGTCGCAGCCTGGACGAATTCGTAAAGGCATGCTCTGGTATTGCAATTTGGGACCAGGTATCTTGGAATGCAGTGATTGCTGGCTACTGCAATTTAGAATGTGAAAAGGAAGCTCTCAGATGTTTCTGTGAAATGAGGCAAGCTGGGACTGACGGTGACTTCTATACATTTACTAGTTTGATGGGAGTGATTGGGAGTAGTTCATTCCTTGAGGAGGGAAGAGAGGTTCATGCTCTCCTTTCCAAGACTAGGTATGCTTCAAGTTTGCATGTGCAGAATGGGCTTGTTTCCATGTATGCAAGATGTGGTGCAATTGACGAATCAAAAAGAATGTTCTGGTCGATGCCAAAACATGATGTCATTTCATGGAACTCGCTTCTAACAGCGTGTGCACATCACGGATATGGTAAGGAAGTTGTGGACTTATTCGAAGAACTGAGAAAAAGCAAGACAAAACCAGATGCTACCACTTTCCTTGCAGTGCTGTCTGCCTGTAGCCATGTTGGTTTAGTAGATCAGGGACTCGAGTACTTCGATTTGTTGAAAAGTGATGCATTAATTGGTCCCCCTAGATTAGAGCATTATGCTAGCGTTGTTGACATTTTTGGTCGAGCTGGATACATAAAAGAAGCAGAAACTTTTGTCAGCAACATGCCAATAAAACCTGGCTCCTCAGTCTACAAGGCTCTGCTTAGTGCTTGTTTAGTACATGGTAATATGGAAGCTGCAGAGCGTTCTGCCAGAAAGCTTGCAGATCTGTGGCCCAATGATAGTGCAACATACATCATGCTATCGAATATGTTGAAAAGAAGTGATAATTGGGATGATGCAGCAGTTGTGCGCAAACTGATCTGTCACAGAGGCATGAAGAAAATACCTGGTTGTAGTTGGAGTTGAGATTGAGATTGTTGATTGTGGACACTTGAGCCTTATGGAGTCCCTTATGAAGTTTGGGTACTGTCACTTTCTGGAATGTTGGTTGAAATCAAAATGGTTTACAAGAATTTGCTCTGAAGTATCACCCTGATGACAATTCCGACATATAGTTGAGTAGTGATTCCCGAACTTCAGTTCCCGGACACTTGGTCAATGGGTAATTAAGCTACCTGCAGGAGGGAGGGCTTTTAGAATGTTTTCAAGCCTGCTCAATCATAAGTCTGTAGCTTTTGTAGAGGCCCTTCCAATGACAGAAATCTCAAAATCCGTGGTGGTCATAGTGGAGGAATACTGATTTGAGAATGATGTCCTACAATTACTCATTTCAGGCCTCCTCTCTCCGGCGGAACACTGCTTCAGTTACTAGTACTCTTAAGGACTCAAATGGAAGTAACTTCAACATGACAACTGCAATGGATGGATGGAGGGAAGCATGAGTGGTTTTAGCTTTAGCAACCAGCATGAGTTAGTCTGCCTTTTCTGTTAACTCTTTTTACAGGTCCTTAGTGGCTAATCAATTCCCTGGTGTTGGCGAATTTCCTATGGAAACTATTTGGAGGAGTTTCATCCCGTCGAAGATCTGCAGCTTTCTTTGGCTTTGTTTTCACAAAGCCATTTTGACTCTGGATAATCTCAAGAAGAGGGGGTTTTATCTTGCCAACATGTGTGTGCTTTGCAAAAGAGAAGAGGAATCCATTCGTCATATTTTTGTTGATTGCAGCTACACATACACCATTTGGAGAGGCGTAGAATCCATCTGTGGCAGTTGTTGCATTCCGGCGGGTGATCTTGATACGGTTGTCAGACATTGGCCTTCCCGCTCTTCTGATAATGTTTGTGAGTGGTTCCGGGCCTGTATTCTGCATGCTGTGTGTTGGCATGTCTGGATCGAGAGAAACAACCGCATCTTCCGGGACACTAGCTGCTCGTCTAATGAAGTGCTGCGAAAATCGACAAGAAATAGCATTGAGTGGCTCATTGCTCATGGAAAGATCGAGAGGAACCTGGGGTAAGAGTGGCTGAACAATAGTCATATCGAATTCTTCGAGCAGTGTTTGGTGCGATCTTTTTCCCGCTGCTGTTGCGGCTGGCCCTTCTGCTTGTTTGGGGTTTTTGTTTTCAGGCTGTTGGAATCCTTGTTTGCGCTGTCCCCCTTGTCTGTTTGCTAGTTGATTGGCGCAATGTTTTTTTTTAGCTTTTGCGTGCAGGGGAGGTTTGGTCCTCCTAGCACCTGTGTTGTCTTTCTCCTTCTTATTTCCTTTTTGGTGGCCTCGTTTTTCTTGGCGGATTGGTTCTGCTTTTGTCTATTTGTCCCTCTTGTATTTTTTGTTCTTCGTGTTTCTTTTGCTTTGCTTGTGATCACTTCTTGTGGTCCTTGCTTGGTTTGTTTTGTATCAGGTTTGAACCTTTTTCTTTTTTCATTAATCTTATCATCACCATTATAAAAAAAAGTACGTTGTTATCCTTCTTTCAACGTTTAGCTTATATACAACGAGAAGGATTAAACATGATGGTAATCACATGTGTTCTTGATTCTTAAAGTTGAGAGTTTGTGTCACCCGTAACTATAGGAGTGAATTTTCATAGCGAGGATGAATGGCTTAGCAGAACGATTCCTATTCTGATCGATAACCAAGGCAGATTGCAGATATTAATGGCGGAACTGTTTGTTGGCACCTCCAGTGCACTAGGAGGTTATGCAAATGTTGATCGACCAAGGCATGGTTAGTGCGAGGCTGTTGCTAAAGATGAGGATAAGGGATACAGTTCAAAAGTGGTACCAAGATGAGGGTTATGCCTGTATCCAGGTTGTTAATTTTGGGAATCTCATACACCAAGGAGGTTGTCTGTGAGGTGGTGGAAGGTGATATTAGCTAGTTATTCAGTTTCAGGACAAACTTGGTAATGTTGTTCAGGGGAAGACACATATCCCTGTTGTCAAGAGAGAGTTTCCTAAGCAGGTAAGCCCAGGGAGCCCTAGATTGCTTCGTTTATGCTGTCTGCTCTTATTTGATTCATCTCTTGTTGTGTGGTCAAGGTGAGGGACCAATGAAATCCAGCCACCTACTTGAATGTCATCTTGTTTGGTCATTCTGGATAGTGGTCTATGTATCATCTCTTTAGTCATTCTGGGAATTGCCTTGAATTGTGAAGTAACAAAGTTAGGGATGTGGTTCTGGTTTAAGCTAGGGCATTGCCGTGAATCTTGAACTAGCAGACTGCTAAATACCTAGTTAGCTGTAGATGTCGTTCTGGTTTTATTGAGGCGATCCCACCTCCAACAAATTTCATATAATTTCTACTGTGATTAAGTGCCAGTCACTTTCGATTTTATTTTTCCTGCTAGGCATGATCTAGTAACTTCAATCATAATCCCAGTAAGGTTAATTGTTGTGTGGCTGTCAATGTTTCAGTTTGACCGGGTCAAGTGTTCAACATCGAATCTGGAATACAAGCTCTGAATGATATAAATGCTTTGGGTTTTCTGCAAACATTGAAGTTAATCCAAGACATTGGAGCCATAATCAGCTGAACCTAGTATGGAGTGGAGCATTGTTCTTGGGCGTGGTGGACTGCCCACATTGGTGTGTCTGCTTTACTCTTTTAATTTCATTGCAAACCTGCAGCTTGAGCTTCCATTTTAACTGTACTAACTGAATTCATCCTTCAGGCTTCAATCCAGCCTGGTGGAACTTTTTATTTCGAACATAGGAATATCAAAGGGCTGAACCAGTCACTTGTGGGCTCAAGCACAACAAGCAATTTCTTTTTGTCTCAGGTAATGTTACTGGCTTTGTTTTTTTGACTATCTCAAAATAACAATGATGATGATTGTTATCTCAAGTGGGAAGTTAATTGGTTGAATAACTCTTATCTATGAATTTATTTACTTTTTGTGGAACCCAATTATTTATATGTTTGTGGTTTCTGATTGTGTGGTTTTGTTTATATGTTGTTGCTCTAGAGAAATTTGATGTACGTAGTTTATGTGAAGTGTCGATTTGATTACCGGTGTGATCTAGTTCTATATTTGATTAACTGATGTTGTATGTTAGATTTATCATTAAAGCAAATGAAAAGAAGCTTGACTTGTGGCTCTATGTAGGCGTAACAATAAAACTATAAGAATCTTTTTACAATTTTATTAAATTAAATATTTGCTGTAAACTTAATTTATGACCATTCCTTAACTTATTCCAAAACAAATGGAGTGAATGAATTGTTTTGGTGGAGTCAAAGGCAGAGGCATGTATGATAAAAAATAAGAAGGAAAAACAGTAAGGTTGGCCAAGTCAATATGGCTATTTCAGGCAACCCAAAGTTTCAATGGCAAACAAAGCAAACTTTCACGTTCTATCATCATCTTTTATTTCTTTCTACTATTTTCTAGCTAGCTCAACCATGTGGTCGGTCCTCTAGTTTCTTTCTTGTCCTTCCATGAGCCTCGGAGACAAATTGCTTAAGCATTGCTGCATTTCTCTTAAAATTTCTCACCTTGTTAGAGGGAGGGGAAGAGAGAGATTCTTGGCCGGATAGGACAATTAAGAGAGGCTGAAACCAATTTGCAAACACATTACTTTGACATGGCTCATCCGTTAAGAAGTGGATCCATGGCTCAACATGAGGCCATTGCTGCCAGACGTGGAAACTCTCCCAAAACTCCACCCAGCCCCAATATCGAGCAACTTGTACGAGGTACTTACATGTTCTTATATGTTCAAATAATTCTTTTGAAATTTATCCTGGATGAATATGACTTTTTTTAATGATATCCCGATTCTGATGTATTTGTATGTTTTTACACTTACTAACAGGAGGAGAAGCGATGAGATGGTCGGCACATACATCACCGTTGGTAAAGGAGCAGCCAGAATTGGAAATAGAACACACACCACAGCAGAAGAAGTCGGTTCTTGCCAAGGTGAAGGAGAAGGCCAAGAAATGGGGCCGCTCTCTGAGCAAGAAGAAGCACAATGGGGATGCGAACAACAACAACAACAACAACAACGCTACTCCTTCTTGGGGTGTCAGCTTGGATGACGAAGATGAGGACGATCCTGAAAATCTTGGAGCCCCGAGTAACATTCAAATCTCCCAACTTAACTATCTAGTTTCCTTCTTCAATATGCATACATATATATGTTAAGTTACTGACACTAATTGGGTTTTCCAATTCCAATTTATGCATTCGTTCAGTGTACGAGTCAGAGATGGCACCCGATGGATACAGCAAGGTTACGGCAGCCAGGCAGCATCAACCTCCTCCGGCTAGATCATCTGCTCCTTTAGTATTGGAGAAGCATGTTTCCGTAAATGCCAACAGCAGCAGCAATATTGACAATCATCGTAGCAAGTCCCCGACAAGTAAAATGCTCATCCGAGAAAGCGTGGCTGCAGGAAAGCAGCCACAGGTATCTCCCAGTCCCAGGACACTAGCAGAGACTCTCCAGGAGAAGGCTGCTCCTCCACCTCCAGATACTGCCAGTCAAGTCGTTGCTTCCAAGGACCAAAACCTCAGCATTTCAACCTCATCACAACCACAACAATCTTCAAGTGGAACCAAAACTGAAGCATCTTCATCATCGTCTTCTTCAGGTGCAGCAAGGACATCTAAATCAGCAGCTCCATCCTCTGCGCCGGCAGCAGTTGCTGCATCAGTCACGTGGAAACACCCACCAGCATCAGTACCGACGTCTATGGCATCGAAACAGGCTGCACCACCAGGGCCATTGAAAATAGAAAAGGAAGCACCAGCACCTGTGGCTACAAAGACAGCAGAGGCGGATGAAAAAGAAACTTACTTAGAGCCCAAGGCTCACTCTGCTCCAGCCCCAGGGAAGGGCATTGCTCTGGACACAGGTAGAACTAACAACGACCAAATATGGGATAAAGGAGTTTCGGTGAAGGAGTATTTAATGAACAAACTCGAGCCAGGAGAAGACGCCAAGGCTCTGTCTCAAGTGATATCACAGGCCATGAGCCCAAGAAAAGCTCCCGGAGATGCAGGGGTGGTGGAGAAAGTGAAAGAGGTTGTATCTTCTCTTTGGCAACAAGAAGATTCTTCTTCTTCAAAATCTGCTTCTTCCCAGTCCACTTCACAGTCTGCCGTGTCTTCTCGTCCCACTCGTCATAACCCGCCCTCATCACCACACATTCCCATCTCAACCAACTCCACTGAAGGTAGTGCTTCTTTTCCGTGCAGTAAGCTAGCTAATCCTACCAGACAGACAGGGAGTCCTTGAACTTCAGAGCTTTCATTTCATTCAGCCGTTTTCCCCTTTTATTAATGGGCAGCTGTTTGTTTGCTGTACGCAGTTGAGGAAGAAACTCAGGGAAGAATACTCCAAGCCAACTGAAACAAGCAGATGACATCCTCGTGCGGCAAAAATAAAAAGAGGGATTATTTAGTAACCGTGCAGCTGAATGTACCAGATCCTGTGTGTAGTGATCAACACAGACAAAGTTTACCATGACGTTTGTTTAGGTCTTGTATTTTATCAAGCAACATACTTACTTGCTCGTAATCAACTAAATAATGGATCTGTCGTTAAAGAAAAGCCTATTGAATGGATAACATGTAACAGAGGTTAGTTGTCAACCTTGGGAAGTTAGATTTTAGTAAACTATAATCACTATTAGTTTCTAATCTTCCCTGAGTAGATCTCGCAATATCATTTTTGAGGAGGAATTTCGCTTCATAAGACTAGGCCCTTGTTTAGTTGTTTCTTTCTCATGAATTTCTTTACCACCTACCTATTGATCGATGTCTGTCTAGTATAGCCAAAGAAGGTATAATCTAATCAAACATGAGGAGTGCATCTTTTACATGATTCAGCTTTAGGGTACTAATGGCTGGTGGTTGCTTCTGAGGTTTAATGACCTTTCTTTAATGAACCATCCTCAAACCATGGTTTTGTAATAATAACCACTAGTTTGTTGCCCGCGCTTTGCTGCGGTAAGATATTAATTAATTCATAGGTTACATTCACTATTTAATGATATAGTTGAAACTAAATAATAATAAAAAACAGTACATGAAATATATCTCCATACAATTCAACGAAAAGAAAAATATATCTCCATACAACTTATATAGTGTCTTAATCATTATAAAAACTTACATAATTAGAAACAATTATTTCTCCATAAAAATTTTCGTAATGTATTTCTAAGTTATGTAATTGTTATAGAATGATATTATGTAAATATTTCGTAATTTTTGGTTCAATAAAAAAATCAAAGTTACTGAAAAATACCACGTTTTATTAAAATGTTAACTTACCTTACAAAAATTATGCGTAATACAAAATGATGTGATGATGAATGCTATAAATACTAATGAAGAAATTTTAGTGAATCATAAATAATTAAGTTATAAAAATTATTAACATTGATGATATGATCAACAACTTAATTAATAGGCAAAATAGAGTTGTATATCCACAACTATCAAGTTTGTGACAAATATATCCACAACTATCAAAATACACGAAATATCCAAAAATCGGAAGGTTGTGTGACAAATCTATCCACTTCCGTCTGAAACTATAACGGCGTGTCAGACGACGTTAAATTGACTAACAGAATGTTGAATCAATGCCATCTCACCTGCCACATAAGCAAAAAAGCAACCAAACTTTACACGTAGATGCCAAATAGGCTAGTTGAATAAAGGCAAAATACAGCTGTATATCCACAACTATCAGGTTTGTGACAAATATATCCACAACTATAAGGTTTGTGACAAATATATCCACAACTATCGAAATACATGAAATATCCATTTCCGTCTACTCCGTTAACTCCGTCAGTTAACTTGATGACTGGACAAACGGTGAATGCTTAGTTGGCGTGTTTCTGACCCTACTGAATGACGTGGATTAAAATAGATTTTTTTAAACCCTAAAAAACACAGACAACAAGACTAAAAATCCAACCAAGAAACACGCCCGATAACCACTGATCCTCCTCCGATCGACGCCTCCATCCCCAAATAACCCTACCACAATCCCCAACCATTGCCTCCCTTTTACTCCGACGGCTTCTATGCAGTCGGCGCCATGGTGATACCAAGCATGATTCTCAAATAAAAAAGCTTGAATCTAACCAAATCGCCAACAGAGAAGACTGCATCAGTGAGGTCTAACAGATAACAGTGTAAAGTTTGGTTGCCTTTTGGCTTATGTGGCAGGTGAGATGACATCGATTCAGCATTCTGTTATTCAATTTAACGCCGTCTGACACACCGTTATAGTTTGAGACGAAAATGGATAGATTTGTCACACAACCTTCCGATTTTTGGATATTTCGTGTATTTCGATAGTTGTGGATATATTTGTCACAAACCTGATAGTTGCGGATATACAACTGTATTTTGCCTAAATTTTTTTTCTCTTTTAATCCATGTCATTTAGTGGGGTCAGAAACACGCCAACTAAGCATCCACCGTATGTCCAGTCATCAAGTTAACTGACGAAGTTAACGGAGTGGACGAAAATGGATATTTCGTGTATTTCGATAGTTATGGATATATTTGTCTCAAACCTAGTAGTTGTGGATATACAGCTGTATTTTGCCTAATTAATATTAAAGAAACTTCCGTTCAAACTTATATTGCGAAAGAATTACGTAATATGTTTATATAATTGATATAAGGAATGACTTTCCATCCATAGCCGCATGCTTTGTGTAGTGTATTAATCATTATTGAAACTTATATAATACATTTTCTTTAATTGATACATCAGAAATAACTCTTCCTCCATGATTTTTATGTAATGTATTATGTATCTCTAATTTAGTAAATTGATGTGAAGTAAAGCTTTTATAATGAGTTGTCTAATAATAAGGAATGACTTTCCATCCATAGCCGCATGCTTTGTGTAGTGTATTAATCATTATTAAAACTTATATAATACATTTTCTTTAATTGATACATCATAAATAACTCTTCCTCCATGATTTTTATGTAATGTATTATGTATCTCTAATTTAGTAAATTGTTGTACATTGATGTGAAGTAAAGCTTTTATAATGAGTTGTCTAATAATAAAATCAAATTATGGAAGTATCACATTTGGTTAAACTATTATGCAAGTAAAACTCAACTTGCATTACGAAATCTTTGCATAATGCAAATGAATTGACCTTACAAAATATTTTTCTAATACAAATTGATGAGATGGACAAAGTTAATAATAAAACAATTTTTGTTCAAACTAATATTGCTAAGGACTTACCAATATGTTTGATTGATATATAAGAAATAACTATCTTCCATGAGTTCTACGTAGTATCTTAGTCATTGTGGTAGCTAGACTTGGGTAATACATTTGTTTAATTGATACATAACCAATAATTATCTCTTCATAAGATTTATGCAACATATTTGTAGCATTGATGTCAACTTGCGCTTTAATCTATATGCCAGACCTATGTAATACGTTTGTTTAATTGATTTTGATTCACGCTTTATCTATTACGTAAGAATAAGTACTTAATAAAGCTCTACTACTATTACGTATGATAAACTAACATTATGTAAACTTAAATAATATAAAATTATTGAAAAGAGTGGCGGAATAGGTTTCTTCTAGGCTGTACCTTCTAAGCACATCAGGCAAACCCTTAATGAGACACACGGTAATAGGAAAAGGTTATTAGCTTTGTGTGCCTAGGATTGATACGGTGAGAGCTGCCACAGCTTAGCATGTACACAGGTGAACAGTAACCCGGAATCAAAGATTACTTACTATATTAGAGGTGGCTAAAATTTCGTAAGGAACAGTAAAAACAATTAAGAGCTTACTTGCGCTTTTAATAAATAAATAAATAAATAAATAAATTTTGGTAATCAAACGTTTACGAGTATATATTATAGGGTTAATTGCAAGGATGGTCACTGGGTTTACTAAAACCGTTCATGTTTGGTCACTGCAAATATTTAATTCCATTCATTGTAACTAAGATTAGTTCAATAGTTCAAGTTTGGTCACTCTCCGTTAGTCTCCGTTAGTTTTTGCTGATGTGGCAGTCAACTATTATAGTTGACCGTTAAATGAGTGACGTGGCAATTAAAAATATAATAAAATTTAAATATACAACTTTTTACATAATCATAATTTCAAAATGTACATGGATTTGTGAAAAGTAAAGGTAAAGTTATTCCCAAGGTCCCGTATATCCACAAATAATTCCTGTTTTGAAAATTTCATCCTAGTAAAAGTTGTAGATCTTGAAAAGTTATTCGAAATGAAAAAAAAATCGCTACGATCGGATACCCGAGTGCAAAGTTACATTTGTTTGAAGTTTCGGCCGAAGTTAGGAGTTGATCGGAAATTTTTTTTTTTTTGGACCAAACTGCCGGGTGGGGTGGCGGTTTTGGGCCAAACCGCCACCCCACCCAGCGGTTTGGTCCATTTTTTTTTATAACCGCCCCTTAGCCCCGCGGTTTGCATAGAAAACCGCGCCCCCGACAAGCGGTTTTCGTGTAAACCGCAGGGTGGGGTGGCGGTTTTTGAAAAAGGGTGGTATTTTTGGAATTTCTTGGGGTTGGGTGGTATTTTTGGACTTCTTTTTTTAAACAGTGGTACTTTTGGATTTTTTCCTTTTAGTAAACCCAGTGACCATCCTTGCAATTAACCCATATATGATATAAAAAACCTGCTTGCATCAAAATGACGCACATTCTTTTAGAACATTCTTTTGCTTTTATTATTAGAACATAAAAGCTAGCTACACTTTTTGCTCTGAATGGTCTGTTACTGTTTCATTTTGTGTCGTTTAGTGACCATCGGTGAAAGGGCTGTAAAATATCATTGCCCACGCAAACCTTCCAAACAACTCTTTCTTTCCCTCACTCCAGTCAAGTGGTCGTGCCTCGCCTTACTGTCCGTCGGAGCAGATCTGCAACTAGCCCAGCCCCCTGCCATCCTTTGACCGATTTCCTTACCTTTCCGGAAATTCAGGTCGCGTTTCTCACTGGCACACGGCGCCGCTGCCGAATTCATCCAAGCACGCCAGCCATGATTCGTAGGAGAGATCGGCAGACCATGCTTCCCGTACGCTGCTCCTCTCTGCGACCACACCACAAAAATTGGAATCGCACGCCACTGGTCGATTCATGTCCTTCGTTTCGCCATTCGGGTCTGCTTTCTTGGAAATCGGAGCCATGCTGTTGGTCAGACTCGCCATCGGTTTTCCATGTTCAGTCGTTGATTGCTTCACCACGCCACCTTCTTTCTAATTCTGTTGTTCTGCAGTGCTGACCTCTCTCCACCAGTTGCCTTCCATCGTACTTGGTGGGAGACAAGTGCTTTCTTCTCTTACCCCTCAATAATCCCTCCTCTCTTGCAAGGCAAATCCTGAAATTTTCTCCCGCTACGGCTACCGTGGAACCCAAAAGAGGAGGAAGACCAGATCGAATTTGGAACAGCATGCACACGTTGAGAATGAAGGCGATGAGAAGGAAAGGATACTTATCATCTCCATCAAAACATCTCCGTTGCCTTTCGTCTTCAGAAGGCCACCGAGTCAGGGGAGTCGATGGACTTATCATCTCCATCAGCTAGCCAGAAGAATCATTCGCCGGCAGGGTGCCATCACGGAGTATTTTTCCCTTGGAAGCGATTCCGCAGATGAAGATGAAAATGATGCATTGACGGATCAAGCATCGCAGCACAAGAACGATAAATAAATTAAAACAACTAAATTAGGGGTTTTCTTCTTCATTGACTTATTAAAACGTAAA